AAATCTGAGTTCGTTTTAGCCCCTTGTTCTCCAAACACCGTCCAAGATTGGCACCATCTGGGAGCTTGTCAGAAATGCAGAATCTCGAGGGTGCCTCAGTCCATAGAGCATGGGAAACTGATCTGGGGGTCGTGATTTCGAGCCCCACCTGGCATGTAGAGATTACTTTAAAAAAAAATAAAAAATAAGGTGCCTGGGTGGCTCAGTGGGTTAAGCCCCTGCCTTTGGCTCAGGTCATGATCTTAGGGTCCTGGGATCAAGCCCCACATCAGGCTCTCTGCTCAGTGGGGAGCCTGCTTCTATCTCTCTTTCTGCCTGCCTCTCTGCCTACTTGTGACCTCTCTCTGTCAAATAAATAAATAAAATCTTCTAAAAAATAAATAAAAAATAAAAATAAAAAATAAGGGGCACCTGGGTGGCTCAGTCATTAAGCATCTGCCTTTGGCTCAAGTCATTCCTGGAATCGAGCCCCACATGGGGCTCCCTACTCCTACTACTCCCTACTCCCTACTCCCTACTCCACGGGAGCCTGCTTCTCCCTGTTCCACTCCCTCTGCTGTATTCCCTCTCTTGCTGTGTCTCTCTCTCTGTTAAATAAATAAATAAAATCTTTAAAAAATAATAAAAAATAAAAGCAAAGAAAAAGAAATGCAGAGTCTCGGGCCCCAGAGGAACCCGATGAATCAGAATTGCTTTTGACAGGACCCCTGGTATATCTATACCACAACTTTTTATCGTTCACCTGTTGATGGATAATTAGATTGTTTCCATGTCTTTGCTACTGGAATAATGCTGCAAGAAACACGGAGTTCTCTTTGGGATCCCATTTTCATCTTCTTTGACTATATGCCCAGAAGTGGGATTGCTGGATCATAGGGTAGCTCTATTTTTAATTTTTCGAGGATCCTCTGTACTGTCTTCCACAGTTAGAAAAGGTTAGTCATGCCAGTTTATGTTCCAACCAACAGTGCACAAGGGTTCCCTTATCTCCATACCCAAATGTTACACATGCACACACACAGTGAGAGAGAAGGGGGGCCTGCCATTGGCAACAATATGGACAGAACTTGAGGGCGTCACGCAAGGTGAAGTAAGTCAGACAGAGAAAGACAAATACTATGTGATACCACTTATTTGTGGAGTCTAAAAAAAGCCAAGCTCATAAAAACAGGGAGCAGAATGATTGTTACCAGAGGCTGGGGTGCGGGAATGGGGGAGATGTCATTTAAGGAGACAAACTTGGAACAAGTAGATAAGTCTTAGAGACCCAAAGCACAGCAATGAGATTAAAGACAGCTGTTCTGTACCATGAACTTCAAAGTTGCTGCGAGACTGATCTTAATTGTTCCCATCACACACAAAAAATGATAATTACACGACTGGATAGAAGGCCACCTAACTCTAGAACGCTGATCATATTGCAAACTTTAAACGTATCAGATCAACACACTGTACACCTTAGATTTATATCCCTGATTATATCCCCCAAATAAGTTTACAAATAAGTAAACAAGATTCCCGAGTGATCTGAGAAATGCTGTCTTAGCCTAATGCCTTCATCTGTATTGGCAGGCAAGGAAAGCAAGGATCAAAGAGGGCGTGATTTGTCTCATGTCACACAGCCTGTCAGGAGCAAAACCTAGACAAGGACCCGGGCTTCCTGGCTGCTAATCCTTCCTACTTTATGGCTTTGTGTTTTCGCCCACGCTGCTTCTTTCTCCTGGACTGCCTTCTGCTCTCCCTTCTGCAAAACTTCGACGTGACCTTCAGGATGCCGCAGGATGCTACCTCTCTACAAAGCCTTCCTCGGTGGCCCCCAGAAACTCCTCCAATGGCACAGCATGGCTTGCTGTGTATTTCTAGTACTGTCTTTCGTAGTCTACTATTCCCGCAAGAGACCTGTGCAGACATGGGCAAAGAATTCAAAGCTTTCCACAAGAGGAAGGCGTTTGCTGCAAACGAAAAGTTTGTTGTGCTAATTGTGTCCACCAGGGTCCAGGCAGGAAAAAGGAGTCCCACTCAGATGGTTCTTGGGATTTGAGTTAAGGGGCTATTTATAGAGGTGGGGACAGGCTTAAGGACACTGGCAGAAGATGCTGAGGGACCCAGGAACTCATCCCTAGCTTCTGGCTTAAAGCAGTCAAGAAAGGAGTCTGGTGTCCAAGCCCAGGGTGGGCTGGAGCCATGGGTGAGGGGTTTGGGGGAGTGACATGACTACTGTCAGACTGAGATCCAGAGCAAGAAGGAAGCTGAGAATTGCCTTCTTCCCTCTCTCTTCCAGACCTCTGACTTCCCGTCCTATTACCCTTGAGCTGAGGCCAACTATAGATGAGGAAACTGAGTCACAGAGCGCCCAAGATCACCCAGGGGGCAAGTCAGGATTCAACGCAAGCCAGGTCCTGGAGTCCATGCCCTTAACCTCACACTGTTTCCTTCTTTATGTTTATTCCCTCCCTCAGCAGTGGTCTCCTATGTGCCGCTCGTATTCCAGGAACTGCGGTTTCTACATTCGGGATTTTCCAAATTCTTTCTGCCAACATTTTTGTAATCAGAACACAACGAAGACTGTTCTTATTCAAAGGGAGAGCACTGCTGTAGGACTGGATGGAGGCAGGAGCGCCGGGGCAGCTGTCATTCAAAACAGATGGACAGCCTGGGAGGAGAAAGACCCAGGGGTTCCAAGCAGAATGCTGCCCCCAGGAGCCTCTGCTGGGTCCCGGGTCACCAGCAGGGACCTTGAGTTAGGAAAGGGTACCCGTGGGGGTGGAGGCCTGGCCTGGGGCCATGAGGCACGCTGGCTGGCTGGGCAGGTGTAAGGTCCGAAGTTCACTGCTTGGGAATTCCCACCCCTGCCAACAGCCACCAGTCTGGGACATCCTCAGACTGCTGCACTGGGGGTGACACCCGTGTCCCCAGGCGGTCCCACTCTCCAGACTGTCCTCCCCTAATCCGCATGGGAGTCGCTTGCTCTGTCTCCCTCCTTTTACAGAGGCAAACTGAGGCACACAGGAGACACGGATTTGCTGAGGGTCACACACCAGGCAGGACTTAGCCAGGTCAGAACCCTGGTTCCCAGCTCCCAGTCCAGGAACCCTCCCCACCTCCACAGGCTATGTCCGGGAAACAGATTCCCCTGGCTCAGGGGGAAGGCTTGCCTGCTGCCAGGCTTTGTCCTTGCTCTCAGCTCAGCCTGGAATGACTCCTCCAAAGCCTGGCTCCTGCTCATCTTTGGGGTCTCAGCTCAGCACATCACTTCCAAGAAGCCTTCCCGGACTATCGTCTTGGAATGGCAGCCACAGATCTGGGTTCAAATCCCTGCAGGCTGACTGTGATCAAAAGCATTTCACCTCCCTGAACCTCAGATCCTTCAGCCAAAATGAGACAGAGACCTGCGTTAGAGGCTGAGAGGTGTGGGCAACTAGTGCGGGGACCCGCACAGGGCAGGAGCTCACAGCTCCTGATTTCCTGCCTCTTCCTGCCCCACGTGCAGGGATCACAGGATTCTAAAGCCTCAGCCCTGCCCTCAAGAGCACCCACGCTGGGACCGGGGGTGGTGTGCAAGGGACCTCAACAAACCTCAACCCCAAGAACATCAACAACAGGATACAGAGAAGCAGAGGGGTCTGGGCTGTAGGCTTTCCTGTGTTCGACGGGGGGAGTTCTGATCTTAACCTTAATTCCATGCCTTGTCTGACCCACGGGGGAGGAACTGTTAACTCCCACCACATTCCGTCTGCTGAGGTGGTCACAGAGACCCAACCCCACGTCAAGGGGAGCATACAGAGACTCCACCTGTTGATGGAAGAGTAGAGAAGAATTTGTGGACATATTTTTAAAGGACCACGTTAACCACAGAGTGGTTAATGCTATGAAGAAGAAAATGCAGATATTCTGGGACCTCAGAGGAGGACCTCCCTCTAATCCAGGGAATTGCAGGGATAATCAGGGAAGGCTTCCTGGAGGTGGGGGCAGAACAAAGTTCACACACATAGGATCCCTGGGGGGGGGGGATCCTGTATTTAGGCACAATCCTTATTATAAATTTTGTTCCCTCCATGAAATTTTATCTTTACTTACTGAGAATACAATATGTCCCCCAAGAAAAGAAAAATTTTAAGTACCAACAAACAAAGAGATTTTTAAAACAGTCATAATCCTGGCCATCCAAACAGAGACAATCCCTCATAACTCCTTGCTAAAAATTGTCCAGACTAGCAGACATGGGTACAGAACCTTGCTGTATGCTGTCCTTGGGAACCTCATGTGCATCTTTCCAGATCAAGAAATACATTGTTTTCTGCAGCCTCACTTTAAATGTACCATAATTAATTTGGCCAGCGTCCTCTCGTTGGGCCCTTTAGGCTGTCCCACTGCTCCCCTACCTGCTTCGTGCAATACAGCTCTGGGCACCCTGGTGCAGTGACATATTTTTCCCCTGACATAATTATGTACTTAACATTCCAGAAGCAGAAACTCAGGGTTACCAGGCATGCAAACGTTTAAAGATTTGCCAAGTTGCTTTCCAGAAAATGTTACCACCAGCAAGGTCTGAGAAAGCCTGGTTTCCCAAGGAGGGGAAGGGGGAAAGATTTCTTTATACTCAACTCTGTTTGTTTTAAAAAAGAGAAAAGAGTTCGGCTGGTGCCAGACATGGCTTTGACTCCCAGCTCCCCGACTTGCCAGGTGCAGGATCTTGAGGGAGTGACATGACCTCCCTGAGCCTCCTAGTCTATAACACCGGGCCTTGCCAGCAATGAATGTGGGGTCTTTTTGCGGGAAGGGTGGACAGAGATCGTCACCTGGGGCCAGGCCAACCCACCCTCTGACCCGGGACAGCAGCAACAGGCTTCAAAGCATGACTCGTGACCCCAGCAATGTCGCAAGCCAGTTCCAGTCTCTGTGCCTCCCATTCCCAATGCCACGAACCAGATCCCAGGAGCCGCCCCCACTCAGGAGCCACCTCTGCCCCAACCCCCTTGCTACTTAAGGGAGCAGGGCCCCGTCTGGGCCACTGCACTGGGAATCCAGGATGAAGCCCTTGGCTGGGGCCCTGCCCTCCCTATTGTTGAGACTGTTGCTCACATCCACCCCAGGCGCCCTGGGCACCAACCCCGGCCTGGTCACCAGGATCACTGACAAGGGCCTACAGTATGGTAAGAAGCTGTGGCTGTTGGCTGCACTTAGCTGGACTGCCGGGCGCCAGACTGCTCTGGGGACAACGGGGGACACCAATGGGGCACTCTCCCTCGGGGTGGTGAGCCAGGGTCTGGCAGCCTTGGCTCCAAGTCTCACCTTGTTGCCCACCCACAGTGCAGCTTGGGCATGTTACTTGTCAGAGTTGGGGTCCGTTACCAGCCGCCAGGGAGAAGGATTTGGAGAAAGCATCAATTTGGGAGAAAACTTTCGGCATACGGCGCAGGAGAGTGGGAAGTGGAGAGGAGGAGAGCAGCCAGAAGACAGGGAAGTGTGTTATGAGCCCTGCCGCTACCCACTGACCAGGGCAATTCTACCAGAAAGTTCTTGGTAGAGTTTGAAAACATGTGTCTTAAATCTAGAAGGCAGACTGGTGGTGACCCAGAGGGGGCAGGAGGGAGCCTGCAGGGGTCCTGGGACTGCGTCCCCTCCAGTTCCAGGGGTGGGTAGGTGGCTGCTTCAACACTCAAAAGTTATCTGGCAGGGACTTTGATGTACGTTATATCTCCACTAGAAAGAATGAACAAAAGTAAGATGATTTTTTGAAAAAAGATGCTGAAACAAAGTGTCAGGATTCGCCCATCAGGGGGTCAGGAGCTGAGGTGTTTCTATACCACCCTCCCCGGAACTGAACCAGGGCTCTCCTCACAGTCTTGAGCCTCAACTGCCTAATCTGTTCAATGGGGTAATAACATTTCCCCAGGTAGGGTTGTTGGGAGCAGAGGAAAGGAAATCAGGGAAAGCTTCTTGGAGGAGGTTCGGAGAGGTACAAAAGATAAGGGACACTTGGCCAGGGATAAGGGTTAGCGTTCTGGCAGAAGGACTGGCACGGCCATTCTCTCAAGGGAGCAGTGCCAGCTGGAAAGAGGGGAGGCCCCTGGTCTTCCGTGTATACATGCGCTCCCTGAAGGCAGAATCCTGAATCCTTCATGTATCCCAACAAACAGAGGGTATTAGCAAGTGTTGTTTATATTGAAATCCTAAATCAGGCAAAATTTGCCTTTGGTTCCTCTCCACTGTGTGATTGATTGTGCCATATTCTCTTAGCCTATTGGCTAGAGTTGGACATTTTGGTCCTTTCCATATTTTTAATAACATAAACCCCACTTTGCCGTTCCAGGCATCTACTCAGTGCCTGCCATGGGCCACGCACCAAGCTAGGAGTGCGTGTCCTCCCCCCAACCCCCTTTTTGCTCTGCAATATCTCCTTTAATCTTCATGCCAGCCCAGTAAAGAAAGTTCTGTTGCCATTGTCATGGAGAAGGCAAAGCTGAAGCCTTGCCCAAGGTCACCCAGCTAGGAAGATGCCGACACCAGGATTCTATCCCTCAGATGCTTACAGTGTCTTCTGCACAGGCTAGATGCCGAGAAGGATGGGACAGAGGAGCACCTCCCCACCCATGCATACAGCACTCCTCCCCTTGTGGGGTCACTGACAAAGACACCATTTCCTCACCCATAAACTGGACACCCACAAAACAGCACCACATGAAACGCAGTGATGCTCCTGTTTCTCGTGTCACTTTGTACCCAACAGGGGCTCAATAGTCTGTAACCGTCATTAATGCTTACAAGGAAGTCAGCCTTTCTTCCTAGAGCAGGTGGGAGCCATTGAAGGGTTTAGAGGGGAGGAAGGCCAGGCCAGGCTGACTTGCAGCTTTTTCCTGTCCACAGTGGCCAAGGAGGGGTCAGTGGCTCTGCAGAAGGAACTGCTCAGAATCACACTGCCTGACTTCACCGGGGACTTCAAGATCAAGCCCTTTGGCCGAGGGCACTATGAGTTCCACCGGTGAGGCTCCCTTCTGCTGGGGCCCTGAGGTGACTGGGGGTGGGGGTGGGGCTCTGGAGGGAGGAGAGGGAGATTCCCCAGGACATCCCTGGGCCAGTAATGGAAGAGTTCCTCACAACATTCAGAGCGAAGTCCTGGGAGGGAATTAGGTCCCCCCACTTATTCATTTATCCAACAAATATCAACGGAGACCTACTAGCTGGGTGACCTGAGCCTCGGTTTCCTTATCTGCAAGATGGGGATGACACTGTGATAATCCAGGCTTCTGTCTGGCCCCTGCCTGTAGTCCGGAAGAGAAGATAGACCTTAAATTTTCAATATAGTAGCCCAACTGTTAGAGCTGAGGTTTGTCCATCAGGGAAGTCAAGGAAAGCTTCCAAGAGGCAGTGGCATTTGAGCTGAGTCTTCAAAGGATCATTAGACATGAGCAGCTGATGCCCAAAAAAGGCATACAACACTTGCAGAGGAACAGGAAATGGAGAAGGACAATAGAGTCACCGCTCAGCACCCCTCCCTGCCCACTACCGTTCATGACTCCACTCATTCTTTCTTTATTCACTCCATCAGCAAACATTTATTGAGCACCTACTATGTGCTGGGCATATAAAATGGAACTTGATCACTGTTTTCCCACAGATTGCCCCCACAACATGTGTCATCTTGGTTTGTTTCTCCAGCATCTCGTGTCTTTTCTTGGGGTTGGCCTCAGCCTTCCCTGAATCCGTTCCCCCTACTTGGATCTGTGGAGGGAGAAATGGCCCCAAAAAGGAGTTACAAACCCAAAGGGGAGTGTCGATGTGTCCTATTCCAGATCCCACCCAGGATCGTAAGATTCATGGGCTCTGATCCCGATGGTGTGACTTTGGACAAATGCAGCTCTTCCGAGTGGTTTTACTTCCCCCTCCGTAAAAAGGGAACAAGAACAGTGCTGTCCCCCCCTAGAGGTGCAGTTGACATAGAGGAGACAATGCATTTAGCATGGCCACATAGTCAGCACAGAACACACAGCAGGTGCTCAGGAAGTTGGGGGAGACCCACAGCGACCTGGAGCCAGCTCTACCAGCCGAGTCCCCATGGGGTGAGAGTAGGGGCAGCGGCAGGGGCTGGAGCAAGATCCCCGCTGCGGCTGGACCCAAGCTGGGGCTGACGTTGTGCTCCCTGTGTCTCTCTCCTCAGCCTGAGCATCCACAGCTGTGAGCTGCGGGACTCTGCTCTGAGACCCCTGCCCGGCCAGGGCCTGAGCCTCAGCATCTCTGACTCCTTCATCAGAGTCGAGGGAGAGTGGAAGGTGCACAAAGCCTTTGTGTAAGTAGATTCTGCTCCCAGGCTCTTGGGCCCTTGGCCTTGGCCTTTGTCCCATCCTTCTTAGGTCCAAAGTGTTCCTAGCTCATTGGAAAGTCCACGTGGTAGATGGGAAGAGCGCACAGAGATCTGAGTCCTGGCTCTTGGTTGATTCTGATTCTCTTCCCTTCTCATGCTTCCCTCATGGGGTTGTGGGTGAGCTGAAGGACAGAATTCTGTATCTTCTTAAGTTTGCTTTCCCCAGCAGCAGACCAGAGACAAGAATTCAAGTGTAAGTACTTTATCTGGGAAATGACCTAAGGAAATGTCCATGGAGGTGAAGAAGGGAGATAGGGAGGGAAGGAAATCAGTTGGGCAGCCGACTGGGGACCTCGGGAGACCATGTAGGCAGAGCACACCTCTGAGTTTCCCCAACTCAGCCATTATGACCCCTTCTTCCTGTTTGCCATTGGTCAAAGGCAGCTGGCTCCCAGGGACATGAACTCCCTAGCATTTTGAACTGTTCTCGACCTCCAGGATCCTTGGATGGAAGGTAGATCAGTCTGCTTGAGCCACCATACTAAAATATCACAGACTAGGTGGTTTCAGCAACACTTCTGGAGATCCAAAGTCCAAGATCAAGGTGTCAGCAGGCCTAGTTTCTTCTGAGGTCTCGCGCCTTGACTTGAAGATGGTGGCCCTCTTGCTGTGACCTCACATGGTTGTCCCTCCGTGTGCAGGCACCCCAAGTGTCTCTCCGTGTCCTCTTCTTAGAAGAGCACCAGTCAGGATTCTGGCCCACCCTAATGGCCTCAATTTTTTTTTCAAGTTTATTTAAGTAATCTCTACACCCAACAAGGAGCTCGAACTCACAACCCCGAGATCAAGAGCACTGCTCCCCTGACTGAGCCAGCCAGGTGTCCCCCTAATGGTCTCAGTGTAATGGCATCAATTCTTCAAAGGCTCTGCCTCCAATGTAGTCACATACTGAGGTCCTGGGGTTAAGGCCTTCACCAGACGAAGCTGGGGTGGGGGGTTCACAATTCAGCCCATAACAGAATGGTGGGCCAGCCTTCCTGGATGACCTGATCTTATTTATATTTTAGACCTGCACTGTCCAATCCAGTCACTTCTAGCCACGTGTCTCCACTGAGTACTCAAAAAATGGCTGGTACAAACTGATACCCGCTCTAAGTGTGAAACACGAGATTTGAAGGTTCGGTACGAAAAACAACAGAAGAAACCCCATTAGTGATTTTTATGTCGTTAGGTTGAAGTGACAACTTACGCTAATAAAGTTAATTTTACCTCTTTCTTCTTGCCTTGTTGAATGTGGCTCCTAAAAATGTTTTCATTACAGATGGGACTCACATTCTGTTTCAATCGGGCAGCACTGCTGGAGAAAGATCCTCAGGATACAGGTCACTTGTGTAGGGAGCATTCATTCCATTTCCACAAAATAATCAAGCCAGCCACTCTGTCTGGGCTTTTTTTCAGTTAAGTATCTCAAAGATCTTTTTATATGAGCAAATGAAAATCTACCTCATTCTTTTTTTTTTCTTTTACCTTTTTTTTTAAAGATTTTATTTATTTATTTGTTAGAGAGAGAGGGAGAGAGAGCATGAGCACAGGCAGACAGAGTGGTAGGCAGAGGCAGAGGGAGAAGCAGGCTCCCCGCCGAGCAAGGAGCCTGATGTGGGACTCGATCCCAGGACGCTGGGATCATGACCTGAGCCGAAGGCAGCTGCTTAACCAACTGAGCCACCCAGGCATCCCTTTTCTTTTACCTTTTTTAACATAATATTTTTATTGAGGTGAAATTCACACACTGTAAAATCAGCCATTTTAAAGTGAACAATTCAGTGGCATTTAATACATTCACGATGATATGCAACCACCACCTCCCTCTAGCTCCAGAATGTTTCCATCCTCCTTCCCCAAAGAGATCACTGCCCACTGCCCTAGCCCCCGGCAACCACCGATCTATATTAGTTCTCTATGGATTTGCCGATTTGGGACATATCATACAAATGGAATAATACAATACGTGACATTTTGTGTCTGGCTTCTTACATTTAGCCTAAGATTTTTGAAGTTCTTCCACATGCATTAGTGCTTTATTCCTTTTTTAAGGATGAGTAATATTTCATTGTGTAGATAGACAACGTTCATCCTTATTCTTTTTTTTTTTTTTTTTCTGAAAGGGGCAGGGCAGGGCAGAGAGAGAGGGAGAGAATCCCAAGCAGGCTCCATAACCAGCACGGAGCCCAACGCAGGGCTCGACCTCACAACCCAGAGATCATGACAGAAGCTGAAATCAAGAGTCGGACACTTAACTGACTGAGCCATGCAGGCGCCCCTATCCTCATTCTTTTTAAAGCCTGCATAGCATAGATGCCTACAACTTAACTGAACCTGTCCCTACTAGCTGACCTTTAGATGCTTCTGTCACCTTTTGCTGTGACCCGTGATGCTTCCGTGAGCCGCCCCATGCATATATGTAGACGGGAAGGCCACAGAGTAGAGCCTTAGAAGTAAAATTCCGCGGCCAAAGATGTGTGTGTGAGAGGCTGGATCCCAGCCGTCGATATTCCAGAGGTGATCTCCCCACCACAGCCCCTGGGACCTCTGTTTACACGCACCTGCTCAAGCTTCAGAATTTTCATCCATCTGACAGGGGGAAACTGGCATTACTGTTATTTTTATTTTTAATTATATTTTTATTTTGTTTTATTTTTATTTTAATATGTTTCATATGCTTCTTTCCAACTGAACTTCCTGTTAGATATCTTTGATACCCCCCGTTTTTTTTTTTTTCTTTTGGGTTGTTTTGTCCTTTCCTTATTAGTTTGTATGAGCTTGTTCTTTGTGTATTAAGGAATTAGCTTTTTGGCCAGCTCACTATGCAGAGTCTTTCTTTTTTTCCTTTTTTTTTTTTTTTTTTTTAATATGGTATTTTTTTTTTTAAGATTTTTTTCATCCATTTGACAGACAGAGATCACAAGTAGGCAGAGAGGCAGGCAGAGAGAGAGGAGGAAGCAGGCTCCCCACCAAGCAGAGAACCTGATGTGGGGCTCGATCCCAGGACCCTGAGATCATGACCTGAACTGAAGACAGAGGCTTTAACCCACTGAGCCACCCAGGCACCCCTGGGTTTTTTTGTTTGTTTGTTTTTGTTTTTTGGTCTGTTTACTGAAATTTTATTTTTCTATGCTGGCAAGTTTATCAACCATTTCTTTTAAACCTCCTTAGACTTGGATCCTATGTAGAAAGGCTTTTGCTCCCCCATTCCCATCAATAACTAGACCCAGGCTCTCTTCCTGACCTTCTATGTTCTTAATTTAATAAATCTTTACTTTGTAATAATTTTCCTAATTAACTTTCTGCTCCAGCTCCACTTATTTTGGGGTAAGAATCGAGCTTCATGTCTTACTCCTACATGGTGGCTGATCTTAGTCTAGGAATTGTTGATTGCTTCTCTTATTTCCTCCAGGAAACTACATGGCTCCTTTGATGTGCAGGTCAAGGGCATTACCATTTCAGTCAGTCTTGTCTTGGGCAGGGAGCCCTCTGGGAGGCCCACCGTCACCGCCTCTGGCTGCAGCAGCCACATTCAAGATGTGGAGGTGGACATATCAGGAAATTTGGGGTAAGTCACCACTGGGACACTGCCCAGCTTGACCCCTGCGGGCAGCCCGAGTCCCATCCAGCCCCAGGCCTGGCCTCTGATAAGCACAGATGCCCAGGTATAATGCAGGGGTACATCACAGGCACTTGGAGGTCATTCTTTGGGGGACCCTGCTGAGATTAAAAGATACAGGTTCGAGCCAGGAATACTGGTGGGGACCACCATCAGGTGAATGAAATCTATCAGAGGAACACAAGGGCATTTGGCTGAAGGAGAATGTACAGACAATGTACGAGTCTGTGGGTACATATCTTTGAGTCTCAGTTTGCTTGATTAGAAGTATGTGGATTCTCAAGCCTCTCCCCTAAATCCACTGAATCTGACTGGGGCAACAGGGGGCTGGGATGCCAGATAAGAGAAGTCAGCAAATGTGTTGGGAGCTGGGACTCTGCATTTTCATCCTGTCCAGGATTTGGAGACACAGCAGGGTCCCAGAACGGTGGGGAGGAGGGATCCCTTAGGGACGGGCCTGGTCAGAGGCCAGGGCCAAGCTTTCTCAGCTGCCTCACTGTCCCTGCATTCAGTGGCACCGAACTCACCGCCCACTGTGCTCCTCTCTCCAGGTGGCTGTTGAATCTCTTCCACAACCAGATTGAGTCCAAATTCCGCAGAGTACTGGAGAGCAAGGTAGGAATGTCCAAACTGCTGGCATCTGCTGTGTCACTCAAGGGCCAGGTGGGAGCCCTCCCTGGGCTCTGGCCCAGGATGGCCAGGTGGACTGGCCCAGACATATTTAGGCCCAAAGCCCAGAGAGGACAAATCATTTGTCCAAGGTCATGGAGCATGGCCAAGCTGGGGCAAAATGTAGGTCCCTGGACTCCAAGTGTGTTTAGTGAGGCAGAGAATGGTTCAATGTTCAGGAAACGGTGAAACAAAGGGGGTGAACAGAGACTCCTGGCCCTCCGTCTCCTTGACCTTGCTCACTGTCTCCCTGCCCTCCCTCCTGCACCGCCCTGCACTCCGTAAGGCCAAAATGGAAATCGGCACTTGGGTGCCAGCAGACACCAAGTAGGACACTTGGGAAATGTGAGAACCAGATTGGAACTCTGGTTCCTACCTGGGCGTGCTCACGAGCCTCTGCCCTGGAGGGTAAGGCAGCACAGAGTGTCATTTTTTGCCATTAAAAAAATTATGTGAAATCTCCAAATTTTGAAATCTCCTACTACAACTAAGAGGTTTCATGTTAACAAATACTCACTTCACCCAAAAATCCCATTTCTGAGGTATCATGGACCTGGATCTGTGTCTGTAGCAATGACTGCTTCGATGGAGAAAGTCATGAAGGAGGAAAGAGGAACACAGACACACTAGACACACAGACACACAGACTCTCTCTCTTCACTGGGGCCCACGGACTGGTCTTGTTTTGAGTGCCCCTAGTGGTTGAAGTGAGAATAGCAGACAGACCCCACAGATGGCGGGGGAGTTGGGGGGGGAGGGCATTCTGTTCCTTGTCTTGTTCTGGGGTCCTGGGGTCTAGGTGAGCTTGGGAAATATGACAGCCTCCTTCTTGAGCATCTCATTTCCGTGTTGCCATGCTTTTCTCAGTAGGCCATAATATTCTTCATTGGTGTGGATTTCTACTGCCCTGTTGATGACGGTGCAAATAAGGATTAGCAATAACATTATATAATAATAGTAATATATGACAATTAATTTGATATATACAATTAATTTTGTTTTGATTAATTAATGTAATTAACGTGATGCAGAATATATCACTGTATAACTATTCTTATTTGTAACAATGGTGGCTACTTATTGAGCATGTGGTCTGGCCAGGAGTAGTGTGCTAAGTATTCAACCACTGAATATGCCATCCAGCTTAACCACAACCTTTGAAGAAAGTGCCTTTTTCTGTATTTGACCGAGAAGGCTCTAAGAGTGGAGAAACTTGCCCAGTGGTCACCTTGCTGGTGAGGAGCTGGGTCAGCATTCAAACTTCCTAGAAGGTGGAGCAGCTTGTACCAAAGGCTTTCTAGGGGCTGGGTGTCTTGGGAAAGATGGAGACCTCCCTGGATCCCTGACCCTTATGGGTCTTCAGAAATTTCCTTCTTCTAGGAAAACAAAGAGCCTGGTACAGACCCTTTCAAATTCCCCACGGATGGTATCTGACAAGCAAGGCTAAGAATAACCACTTCCTGCCTGCTTGCTCTTTGAGCCATATAGACTCACTGTCTTAGTCTCCTCACCCCCCCCACCCCAAACATCCTTGGGAAGCACTTGGCCTTGTCCCTGTATCCTGTAGACGAGGACGCAAAAGCAGGGAGAGATTCTGCAAAGGTCACACAGCCAGTAGGGGACTGGACAGGATTTGAACCCAGGTTTGTTCAACTCCCCTACGACACCCTTAACCTGCCTCTCTAAGAGGCCCTGTGATGGGTCTGGGACTGAGGGCTGAAAGCCTTCCCTCCCCCGTCATGCAGGTCCCCTCAGGGTTGGGGGCTCTTTGGGAAGATCTGGTAGGCCTTTGAAGGAAAAGCAAGGAGGGACTAGTCTCCTTGAGGGCTTGAGTGAGGCTAGCAGTCTCCTGTTTCCCATGAAATCAACCGTGACTGTCCTTCACCACACTGAGCCAGCAACAAAGGGAGACTAAGATTTCAACTCTTGCCTGCCCAGCCCCCAGCATAGAGTTTCCCACACCTCCATGCCTGATTTGTGTGAGCTCACCCTTTTGCCTGCCCTTAAAATGCCAGCTCCCATACCCGTGGAGCCTTCCTTCCCCCATATGCCTCTCCTTCCTTATATACATGGATGCCTCCGCACAGGGGGTGTGACCCATTAATCAAAACAACTGTGGACCATGGGGACTCGCGCCCACACACGAACAAAGAAACTATTTACATGTAAATCCAAATGTTTTAAGATACAGTAAATATAAATCCATTTGTCGTCTTTTGACATAGAAACTGCTCTTTGAAAATAGTCTCCTGGTTGACATTGGACTTGTCTTTCGCGCACGAAACATTGATCGGCTACAAATTCCAGCTCAGCTTTCTTTAACCACAGTGAGAATTCAAAGACATTTACAAAGCAATCCCCGGTGCAGAATCCTTCTAGATTTTCATGATTTTTTTTTTCCTCCTAAGCCTTTTCTTGTGCACACTAGGAAATTTCTCTAAGCAGCTCACCTCTCCCAAGTACTTAGGTTTTCTCGGTCGTATTTCACTGGTTTACACAAGAAATATTCTGAGCGATTACAAGAGCATGTATAGCCAGCAGCTTTGGGAACACATATTCCCTCTTCTTGAGAAACATGCCACGCAAGTTGTCTCCACGAAGGGTGTGTGCCTACCATGTGGTGGCCTCCGGGACACGGGAAACGTGGAATACGGATGGATCCCAGCCAACCTGTGAACGGATGGCATTTCAGAAGTACCTACTAAGTACACACCTATGAGATGGCTATTTCTATTGGCCGTCTAGTTCCTCTATTCAAGTCTAAATTCTAGGGGAGGGGCAGCACCTCCCAAACGAAAGTATCTTTCAAGGTGAATTTCAGGCAGTGCCTCCAGCCAAAGTGCCCGACCCAGCTGGGTAGCAGACTAACTCAGATATCCAGCACCGGGATCAACTTGGAGATGTCCGGGTGGACCCTATTGAGGTCCACATGGGGACCTGCATGTTTTTTATCATTTCTATTCCCTAGCACATGGCACATGTGAGCACTGATACATTTTTGTAGAATCGATCAATGGGCTAATATATGAAAGACAGTGACTAGAGCAATTAGCGCAGTGGCAAACCAAAGCCAGTAGCGGGGATGGGAGCGGGGAGGACCCACTCAGGCTTTCTCCTTCCATGTTTTTCAGGTTTGCGAAATGCTCCAGAAATCGGTGACCTCGGACCTACAGCCTTATCTCCAAACTCTGCCAGGTAGGCTACTCCACCCATGCGGGGGGACACTCTATTAATTTATATTTATATTTATAATCAGATAAGGCTTATAAAACATTAAATGGGGCAGCAGTGTAGAAAGTAATAGTGTGAAGTATTCTTTTCTCCCCAGATTTTCTTCCAAGAGGTAATAATCTCTGTTTGGGGTGTCAGCTCTCAGATATTTTCTTTCATATATAAAAATATAAGTATACATAATGATACAAACATACATTCATTATATATTCCTTTTGTTCATGAATACACATGCATATGTCAAATTATGAGTATGTATCAGTCTACACATAGTAGACATTGTTTCTTTTGTAACTTGTATACCTTGGACATCTTTCTGTATTAGCATACACAAATTTATCTCATTTTTTAAAAAAAAACTTTTTGGGGCACATGGGAGTCTCAGTCAGTTAAGCATCTGCCTTCGGCTCAGGTCATGATTTCAGGGTCCTGATATTGAGCCCCGAGTTGGACCCCCGGCTCAGCAAGGGGTCTGCTTCTCTCCCTCCCTCTTCCTCTGCCATTCTCCCTGCTCATTCTCTCTCTCTCAAATAAACAAGTAAATCTTTTTTTAAAAAAGAAACTTTTTGTGAGGGTTTATAGAGAGAGAAAAGTGCTTAAGTCATAAGTGAACAGTTTAAAGAATTTTGCCAAACTGAGCACAGGAACGTTCCCGCTCCCAGAGCAAGAAACAGAACATGATGGGGCTTTCGGAACTCCTTCATGTGAGCCCCTGCCATGGGTCCCCACTGAAGGAAAACCGCTCTCCCAACTTCTTCCAACAAAGATTAGTTTTGCACACTGTAGGCAAATGGCACCACGCCGCATTTCAGGTCTTCTATCAAGAGCAGATAGTTTTCTCGGCTCTACTTTAAAAGATGAAGTTGACTCATACTGCTGCATGGAGAGCGAGAGTCAGTCATTGTCCTTGCTGGATGCCGCTCCACAGTGTAGGTGTCCCTCCCTTTATTTATTCATTCTGCTGTTGAACCCATTTGGGGAGTTTCACTTTAGGACCATTATGGGTGGTGCTTCTATGAATATTCTAGTACATATGGACACATGTCTTTGGGTATATACCTGGGAGAGGGACAGCAAGCAGGCTCACGTGACGGCTACAGGCTCTGCGTGACCAGATCCTTCCAGTTTTCCGAGGTGGTTGCAACAGACCTCGTTTTAGTAGCTGTGTAGTTCCATCATATGTGTCATTCCATCATACGGATGTGTCTGAGGTATTGTGTGATGCCCTGGCCCCCGGGCCCCCCACTTGCTCGTTGGCAGCTGTCTTTCAGGGCAGGCCCAGGCAGGCACAGACAGCCTAGTGCATGGGACATAGGACTCTCATTCCCCTAGGGCTTTGAAGGGGAGTTTCTGGGCCTTCTGGACATGGACTGACCTTCCTGGTTATTTGGTCTGTGTTGATAAGAGGCAAGTTTCCCCAAAGATCAAGGCTTCGGTTGGAAACTGGGGAATAATTCCCTTGATTGGAGAATTCTCCCCATTCTGTGGCTTCTTTGGCATGAAGATGTGGAGGGCTGCCAGACCTGGGCTCCTCCTGCCCTCAGATGTGTGTGCATGCGTGTGTGTGTGTGTGTGTGTGTGTGTGAGAGAGAGAGAGAGAGAGACACCCTGGAAACCAGGTCCCAGGCTGAGCATACCACCCCCTTCATGCTAACCCGCCAGTGGGACAACAGAAACATGTCCTCTCTTTCTTGGAGGAACATCTTTTTGCTCCAGGGCTGGGCTGGGTCAAAGGTCTTGGCAGAGGGGCAGGGGCCCCTGAAGAAAGTCACAAGAGTGTGGATCAGTCAGAGCCCCCATCACCTGGCTTCTAATTCTTCCCCTCTCCTGGCTCACAGTCACAACAGAGATCGACAGTTTTGCTGGCATTGATTACAGTTTAATGGAAGCCCCTCGGGCAACAGCCCAAATGCTGGACGTGATGTTTAAGGTGAGAGTCCTAGAGCAGGGGCATGGGTGGGTTCGGCCCCAGCAGAGCATACCCTCAAGGCCAGCCCTTATTTGGGGCCTCCTGTCTCCGGCTTCAGATCTGTCCTCATCTCTCCAGGGGCTTTGGCTGTGTTGAGGGCAGGGCAATATGGAGTGGTGGGGAGTGCTTCAAGAACCAGGGCTCCAACAGGAGACTTACAAGTCTTCAGCCTTGAAACCCTCCCTCTTCTCCTCCTTCATTTTGACCATCACGTAGGTGAGGTCAATCAGAACTGGGCAAGGTGGTGCAAAGGGTATTAATGGGTTAAAAATGCCAAAGCTGGGGAGCTTTTCATTTACAGATTCTGGACACACAACACTTTGATGTGTTGTGTTTTAATGGTAGAGTTTCAGGCAGTGACTTTCCAACACCCCCTACTCAGGCTGTATAAGCAACTGCCTAGCTCAGATGTCCAGCACTGGGGTAGACTTTGAAAAGTTCAAATGCATACTATTTCTCTCTCCAGGGTGAAATTTTTAGCCGTGATCACTATTCCCCAGTCACCTTCCTTGCTCCTGTCATGAGCCTTCCTGAGCAACATGACCGAATGGTCTACTTTGCCATCTCTGATTATGTCTTCAACACAGCCAGCTTGGTTTATCATGAGGCCGGATACCTGAACTTCTCCATCACAGATGACATGGTGAGGATGATGACAGAAAAACATGCACAAATGACAGGGTGGCCTGCCCTTCCTTCTTTCCTTTCCACCCCGTTTATATCAATGATATAGGAAGTTATTGAGAAGAACGATTCAGACAAGGAAATATATAAATGAGCACAATTTCCCTTTTCACTTCAGCTACCAGGAAGCTCGAGTCAAAAATCCTTTCTCCGTTAGAACTGTGAAAGACTGTGACTTTTTTGTCTGGGTTTTACTTTTGTCCCTGTCTAGACCTGTTGTTCTAATTCATATTTTCCCTCATGCTTAGTTTGTAGAGGCTTAAAAAAAAACTCTTAAAAATTTAGTAAATGAAGCAGGTTAATGGATACACTAATAAATGCATAAAGTTATACTGAATAGGAAATGAAACCAAGTTAAAAGTGAAACACTACCATGAAAACATTGTGCCCATAGTTGATTTTTTAAAAATAAAATATCTATTTGGAAACTACCTTGTAACCAAAAGGAAAAAGGTCCATGGTTTAGTGATTCATGGTGAAAGGAGACAGTCTTTCTAGAACGTACCTCTAAAACAAGAGTCTCAAACGGGGTTTTGTATAAGGAATATTAAATTTTTAAGTGGATTGCATCTTTAATAATTCTCCAGTTTCTTTAATATTCCTGGGTTTCAGAAAATTATTTCTTGTAGCTTTTTGTAAAGCTGAGGCCTCGTGAACGTCAGGATGATGAGAGCAACAGCGCAGCCCCATTATGTGGTCCAGCTGGCTCTGATGATAGACGGGGTGCCACCTAGTGGGTGGGGGGAGTGGCCTGCGGTCTTTTGGGTGATTTCTCACCTTTGCACCTTTCTCACCTTATATTTCTATTATCATGTCTGAGCAAGGCACCCCTCCAATGGTGCAGTCCTTTCTTTTAGCGGACTGGGTCATAATAGCTGTGTTTTATAATAGCTGTGCGCTGGGTCCCATGTAGGTGTTGTGTGCACACCGTCCCATTCAGCCCTCGCGATGACCTGATAGGCTCAGAGAGGTGAAGGGACTGGCCTGTGACCACACAGCAACAAAGCCAGGAACCATACCTAGGTCCTTATGACTGCAAATCTCACTCTCACGGACCCTCTGTGTGCATCCCGCATGTCACCTGTGTCCCAGGAGAGCAGCCAAGGCCCTGGCAACTGGTGCTTGTGGTGAGTGCAAGACAGACATCTCACTGTTGTTATGGTAACCCAGGTAGTCAAGAAGCCGCAGTCTTGAGCATCCTCCTCCCACCTCCCCATCTTTCTCAGACCTTCAGCTCCGGTGAGAGTGCCCTAAAACTTTGTGTCTCTTTGCTGCAGGTTCCCCCGGGCTCTAACATCCGGTTGACCACCAAGTCCTTTCGCCCCTTCGTCCCCAGGGTAAGCCTTCTCTCAGACCTCGGCAGGTGCAAGCCAAGCCCACTAGCCTCCAGAGGTTTCCCTTTAAAACCACGGAGCTTCTCTCAGCTTAACCAAGAGTCAGAAGGCTGGCAGTGAGTCCCCCAGGGAGGGTAAGGTCTTCCTGCTGCTGGCTTCGGGGCCCCTTCTCTCCAAAGCCCAACAACAGAGGGCTGAGCCCCGTGTCTCTGGGAACATGAGTCGCCCATTCTTTCGCCAATGATATCTGAAAAATCCCAGGGAGTGCCAACATGTCCCGCCAAATGCACCCTAATTAATAACATCAGACAATTAACAGAAGACACACTAGGGACCAGGCACGGTTCTTGGTGCTTTAAAAATTATGTTTTGAAAGGATAATAAATTCTCATGGTTCAACATCCAAAAGACATAAAAGACTCTAGAGTGGAAAATTTCCCATCCACTCCCGGCCCCTAACCACCCAGTTCCCATCCAAAGCCTACCTCCTTCTGGGGATATTCTATGTATATGCCAACAACTGCTGTGAATCTTTTCCATTTTTGTACGCAAATGGAGGCATATCATACACGCCTTTTTGTACCTTACTTTTTTGCCTTACTGTCCCGGGAGCTCACTCTGCAGAAGTAGAAAAGAAGATTCCTCACTCGTGTTCTCATGAGCATCCGGTCTGCCATCGTACAGACTCATCATTGTTGGCTCAGCCAGTCTCCCAGGAAGGACCCGTGGTTGTTTCCGGCAGTTGCTACAGCAACCCTGTCATCACGGGGCTAAATTCATCATTTAATCCCACAGAAATCCATCTGTCCTCTCCTACACCTTCCCAGTTCCCCCGCCCCAGATGCGCCTCGGACAGGCAGTCATGTTGAATATCCAAGGCTTGACATATAGCCATCCTGCCCTTGACTCAACAATTCCACTTTTAAGAATGTACCCCTCCCCCCAAAATAGCCAAGGGTACTCACAGGAGTGGTCATTATAAGGGCAAAACCTTGGAGACCACTTGATGCCCAGTGTGGTTAGATCCGTTACAGTGCCCATGCCCGATGGAACCCAATGCAGCCATGAAAACTCCAGATGTCTGACAAGACAAGATCTCCAGGGGCACCATTAAGAGAAAAATGAACAGAGCGTTTTGTGAAAATAAAATCAATCAAAAAGCATTCTCAGCTTTCTCTGACTCCCTCGGGATTCCCCTGGCAAACCTGCATGTTTCCTTCTCTTGACATAATATTCTCATTCTGCCCCCAGTTAGCCAGACTGTACCCCAACATGAACTTGGAGCTCCAGGGAGCAATGGCCTCTGCCCCATTCCTGAACTTCAGTCCTGGGAATCTGTCCTCGACCCCCCTGATGGAGATTGAAGGCTTTGTGCTCCTGCCCAGCTCCGTCAGGGAGCCTGTCTTCCGGCTTGGTGTGGTAAGGCTCAAAGCCTTTGCAAATGCTGTTCCCTTTTTCTGCATGCTCTTCCCCCTTCCTTCAGATCTCAACTTCAGTATCAATTCCTCAGAGAGGACTTTTTTGATTGCCTCTTACCACCTTAGGCTCCCTGTCATCTTTTTTTTTTTCTTAAAGCACGCTATTGTTTTCCTGCATAGCATTTATTATAAAGATGCTTACGTAACTGTTTGCAGGTTTATTTGCTTAATGTTTGTATCTCCAAAACACTGAGAAGGGCTATTATTGGGAGGAAGGTATAAGGGTCTTGGACTTGTTTGCTCTGCATCTATATCTGACCTCTGAAGACTACATTTCCCAGGCTCCCTTGGACTTTGACTTCTAATAAAGTTAGCCAATGGGAAACACTGTCAAGAGAGCAGGAGGAAGGAATATTTCTTCCTCTGTCTTTGTCCTAGACAGAGGCTCAGGCAGTGATTCTGTCACTTCCATGGTGGTTCCCTTAACCCCAATCCCTCCTCTGTTCTTTCAGTCCTGGGGTGGAAGCAGCTTCCTTCCTCTGCTGGTCTCTAAGTCACCCCCCTAGCTCTCTTTGGCTTCTTGGCAATTCCATCACTTGTGTAAGCACCTCCCTATATCAAAGGCCCTCTGGGTTAAATATTGAGAGGGTTCTCTCCTTTCTCAATGGACTCTGTGTAACAGTGAAGGGATTCTGAGTCCTTTTGGGTTCCTGCTCACTGAATGGAGAACTTTGTTCTCTTGTGTCAGGTTGGAAACTCAACAAGACAAATTTCTGGAAGGGTAATTGCTCCTAGATGCTATAGCTGCAATTTGATATTGTTGTTATTGTCGTCAAATTTGTTATTAATATATTATAAATTTTAAAATATTATTAATATTATTTTTATTATTATCACCACCAGGACAGACTCTTAGCTGTGAGGTAGCTAGAAATGATCCCTTTAGAGATCTCCAGGGATAGGCACTCTACACCTCTTGGCAGTCTGTCTGTTCAAAGTTCAGTCACTATCATAGTCACCAACTTCAAGTAAAAAATGTTCAAGTCCAAGTTCAAACATGTATTGAGTACTTATGATGAACCTTCTGGGAGTCTATAGTTAGGGAACAAGTTCCTGCTTTAACTCACCAAGTTGTTTGTTTAAAGGAAACAGCTGGTCCTAATAGTTATCCTTCCTATATGTGACAGACTTTCTCATTTAGTTGTATTTTTTTAATATTTTTTATTGATTTTTATTTATTTATTTGACAGAGATCACAAGTAGGCAGAGAGAGAGGGGGAAGTGGGCTCCCTGCTGAGCAGATAGCCCGATGCAGGGCTTGATCCCAGGACCCTAGGATTATGACCTGAGCTGAAGGCAGAGGCTTTAACCCCCTGAGTCACCCAGGTGCCCCGACTGCCTTTCTCATTTAAACCTGTTTCCTTCTACTGGAATTTCCAGGCTACTAATGTGTCTGCCATGTTGACCTTCAATACCAGTAGGATCACTGGGTTCCTGAAACCGGGAAAGTAAGTCAGCCTCCTGCCCCCGTGGAGGCACTCAACTGGGCTCCTTCCATCTGGACATTGTAGCTGATTCTCTGTAGCTGGGGGTAGGGATGGGAGCAGATCTTCTTCTCAATGTTAGGGGTCTATCACTGGGGAAGGAAACTTAAATTTTACCTCGGTTAGCTCAATTCTTTTCCCCCACTTGTCGTGCCTCCAAAATGTCCTTTCTGCCTAATTCCCATTACTTCCAAATTTCTAAAGAGTTTACTAATACAGCTTTTTCTTATTTTTGACATTAACCATATTGACTTTCTGACATACACGACTCACGTCCCCTCGGTGAGTCTTCCCAGTAAGGTTGCATCGCTGATTTTGGTTCTTAGCCATCTTTCTCAGTCCCATCCCTACACCATCCTTGGTTCTGTGTCTTCTTAAACCAGAGACTCCTTTCTGGGGACCCCCACATTGCTTAGGTGTCCCATGGATATCATGCCCACATCTCTGACTTTTGCCTGATTTGTTATAGGATACAAGTGGAACTGAAAGAATCTAAAGTTGGAGTGTTCAATGTAAGTAATCATTGTTTTTATTTATGAATTGATTAAGGTGTTAACTAATTTAGTGTGTTTCCTAAGCAATGCTATGGCACTTATAGAAGAAAATAGAAAAGTGAGAAGAGCTACTCTCTGCCGTAAAAAATGTAGTTGTTGAGGCATGAAACAAGGGCCAAGGAACAGTTACATTGCAATAGAAGATAAGTTATAATTAAATCTTCTGTTGGACAGAGTTATTTTAACTACGAGAATACAGGGCGCCTGGGTTGCTCAGTGGATTAAAGCCTCTGCCTTAGGCTCAGGTCATGATTTCAGGGTCCTGGGATCGAGCCCCACCTCGGGCTCTCTGCTCAGCAGGGAACCTGCTTCCTCCCTCTCTCTCTCTGCCTGCCTCTCTGCCTACTTGTGATCTCTGTCTGTCAAATAAATAAATAAAATCTTTAAAAAAAAAAAGAATACAAAGCCAACTAAAAGTGCCTTAAGCCAACAGGAGGAATTTATAGGGTCATAAAACTAAAAAACAAATTAAAAAAAATGAGGTTTCAGGCATAGCTGGATCTAGGTACTCAAATTAGTGCATCAAGAATCTCTCCCCATCTCTTCTCTTTGCTTTCATCCATGTTGACTTCATTCTCTGACTGATTTTCCCACTGCTAGAAAACATCAGCATTTTGTAGTTTAACTTTTAAAAATTTAGGTGTTAGCTCTCATTAGGTGAATCTGAGTCATGTGACCATTCTTTAGCCAATCACTGTGGCTAAAAATTGGACAAGGCCAGTTGACCAAACATGGGTTTCATCTACACTCTGGGAGCCAGGGTGTGTGGTCCCAAGCCACATGGACTGAGATTGGAAAGGAGATTTCCCCAGGGGAAAATTGGGACTCTGTTATTAAAAAAAGAGGCATTAATTGCTGGCCTGGCTGAACCAAGAAGTGATTTCCACCAGGAGGAACAAGTGGCAAAATGGATGGCCCCATATTGAAGTAAGAAAGACAGTGGGAAAATCAGTGTGGGCTGATGTGATCAGGGAGAAATTTCTGACAAGAAGGAAGACGGGGTGATGACAGCTACTCTTCACAGGCCGAGGAGGAGATGGATAGACCTTAACCTCCAATAATTGTCTTCCTTTTTACCATCCTGCCCACACTGACCCCTCTGGCCAGCCTCCCCCTGCCCTGCGCTGCCCAGACCCTCCCTTACCGACTTACAAAGTAGAAACAACCACATAAACTGTGGAGAGAGACTCTGCCCACAGGGATCCCAAAGGATGACCCCTTCCAAGGAATGATGGAGGAAGTGACTAATGACACACTAATATTGCATCTGTACATGGCATGTATAAGTGTCTTATGAGGTAAAACATTCATATATAAAGATTCACAAGAAGTCATCTTATCGGGTGTTCAGAGCATGGAATGCCGAAAGTAGGAACTATAGAATCAGATAAATCTGGACTCAAATTCTGCCCCTGCTTCCCCATTTCTAAATGTCACTTTCATTCTGTGGGCCTCGGTTTTCTGGTCTGTGGAATGGAGGCAGTAATATCAACTTCAAAGAGTTATTGTGAAAACTGAGTCAGGTGTATATATAATGTTCTGAGCCCTATACCATCTACATGGTGAGTGTTATAAAATGTATTTCATAATTTTTGTTTTGAATTTTTTTAAAGAAATTATTACATAGCAAATTGGGAAAACATTATGTGGAAACAAATTAAACTGTGAAAAAAAATTAAAGACAAAGCTAAGTCAAACCTTGACATTCTTCCTAGAGGGAAGACAGTTGGGTGTGTAATCTTCCAAGGGTTTCTATCCTTTTGTACACAAATAAATGTGTTTCTTTAAAATAGTTTTATAATATAAAACAGTAGTATGATGTAGGCATCTATCTGAAATTCGCTTTTTTCAGTCTTATTCGCCATGTCGCCACATGCAGACATGGAGACGTTTATTGGTGGGCAAAATGGCACATGTGGTCACGGTGTATCTCTCCTGTTCTCCACCAGGTGGAGCTGTTGGAGGCGCTACTCAACTACTACATTCTCAACACCCTCTACCCCAAGGTCAATGGTAAGAATCATGAGGGATTTTTCCATGTCAAGGAGGACAGTGCTCTTTGAGGAAAAAGGAGCTGAGCTTGGAGATGGGAAACACGGCTTTCCTGCAGGCTGAGTGACCTTGGTTTAGTCAATTGCCCTCTTTGAGCTTCAGCAGCCAATGAGATGGGAGTTTTGAAGGTGGTCTCCTCTCCCTCCAGGGCTCTAGTGAGGGTTAGGAACTGAGGGGGCTCTTTGGGGCAGAGGAAACCTCCTCCTAAGAGAGAAGGAGGGATTCACAGAAGTGTGCCCCCTTATGCCCTGAAATGGCAGGTAAAAGACTAAGGACCAAGCTAAAGCAGCGGGCACAGGGCAGCCCATCTCTGAATTCACATTTCCCAGTCAATGGTCAACTCCCTAGTCAGAAAATAAAGCATCAAGTTCTAAACACCATTTCCACGAAGCCCTGCTTCATTTGGCCACAACAGAAAGCAGGATGAGAGTGAGGGCAGGTGCCTACTAGCTTCTTACTATGAGTATCTGCCTCCCCATACCTCCCACTCCTCCCATATAGCACCAGGGCTGGGAGCTCAAGCTCCTGGAGCAGCCTGCCAGGGTTGAAATCCTAGTTCTGGCTGTGTGACCTAGGACAAGTTAGTTGGCCACTCTGTGCCTCAATTTCCTTATCAGTAAAATGGAAATAATAATCTTATCTACCTCATAATCTTTGGTGATCTTTAAATGGGAGTATACTGTACACAGAGTTGGACGAGGGAAACTTATTTTTTTCTATGACTTTACTTATAATTATTATTTGTTTACAAATCTCTCTCCGTGCTATGCCTCAACCTCCAGAGAAGTTGGCAGAAGGCTTCCCCCTTCCTCTGCTCAAGGATATTCAGCTCTATGACCCTGTTCTCGAGATCCACAAGGTCAGTGGGTTCCGATGGGCTTTTGAGGAATTGGGGAGGGGGGCGACTGGTTTGTTTTCCAGGTTCAGAGGCCGTAGCTCAGTGGGTGGGACTCAATCCAGCGCTGCCGCTCAGAAAGGGGAGGAAGGCCCCAGGCACGCTAGATGCCATGCAGCCACCCATGTGTCCTTCAGATGTGGCACCCCTCCTCGGGCAGCTGGCATTGGACACAGCCTGTGCCGCACTGCCTTCCACGTCCCCACCCCTGTGGGTGACCTGAGGGAACCTCAACACCAGCTCACTTTGAAAACACTGTCATGGCAACAGCACAGGCTCTGAGAGCCATTTGGAAGTTTTGAAAATTTCTTCTAAATTCTTTTTTTTTTTTTAAGATTGTATTTATTTATTCGTCAGAGAGAGGGAGAGAACAAGCAGGATCATGACCCGAGCTGAAAGCAGACACTTAACCGTCAGTTAACAGAACCATTAACAGAACCGACAGTTAGAGGCATCAGAGACATCATTTACTGAACCATTTCCATATCAAGGAATACATCTGAGTCTTTGCTCTCCACGCCACGGTTCTGATCAAGCATTTTCTGGTGTGTTTGTGCCCATGGTTCAGGTTATCTTTCTGGAATAGCGTCTGTAAGGAGGGATGACTGGGTCGGGAGCCCTGTGAGCAGTAAAGGAGATGCTGTGTTGTGTCTGGGACATTGTCAATCTACAGCAAGTAACAGCCGCTAAAAACAAGGAAGGGCAGGGGCGCCTGGGTGGCTCAGTCAGTTAAGCATTTGCCTTCAGCTCAGGTCATGATCCCAGGGTCCTGAGACCGAGTCCCGCATCGGTCTCCCTGCTCAGCAGGTTAATCTGCTTCTCCCTCTCCACTACCCCTCCCCGAATTGTGTTCCCTCTCTCTCAAATAAATAAGTAAAATCTTTTAAAAAATAAAAAAATAAAAAGACAGGGAAGGGCAGCAGCGGGTCAGGGACATGGACACACTGACCCACTACTCTATTTGAAAAGTAATATCCAATGTCCTTTTGGACCCAAGGATGCTAAACATCCTACTGCTGAGAGTTTACAAGGAGTCAGACAGCTGGTTAATTGAAGTGAGGACCGACAATTCATGCCGCTGGCCTCAGCTGGGCACATGAGAAATCATCAGAAGATTTATTATAGACTCTCATGTTCAGTAGACTTTTGAGGTCATTTGTTTGACCCCCAAAGGCAAGGGCTGGATCACTGTGGGAGAGAATTGGACTTTGGCTCGGGTTCAGAGTTCCTGCCCCTTCAGGTGATGGAAACTTCCAAGGCGGTAGGAGTGTAAACCTCAGTGGTGCACAATTTTGTGTTATTTGCGAGGGAGAGAAAATTTAGGTGACACAAAGGACATTTATGGGGCCTGCCTGGAAGCAGCAGCTTGGGAAATGACAGATAAATCGCCACCTCAGAGAAGGTGGATGGAAAAAGCTGTGCTTTATGGAGACCTTAGGGATGGAGGCACGTTTGAGATTTATGCCCTGACTTGGTTTCTGGCAGAGCTCATGCTTCCCCAGATGTGGGCCTCCCTTTATACTGGAGATGAGTCTTTTTTGGCGTAAGGAATGCTTTCCCATGCCATCCTGTCTTGTCTCTCCTAGGATTTCCTGTTCCTGGGCACCAACCTCCAGTACAAGAGAGCTTGAGGGCCAGGACCCAGCTGGGGTTTGGAGCCCACAGCTGGACTGGCAAATTGCATTTCCAGATGTGCAGCATTTTCCCGGGGAGATGAAGACCTCTCTGTTCCCAGCTCTGGGGGAGAGGTCCGCCTGGGTGCCCTGGGCCTCTTCAGCGGGTGCACCCACACCCTTTCTGTCCCTGGGCTTCCCAGCCCCCACCTCCCCCAGGAGAGACCATCTCCCTGGGCTGGCCTGTACCCTCTTTAAGAGCAGGCATCATCTTTTTTAGTCACCATCTGATCTCTGTACCTGGCACTGTGTAGATCCTCAATAAATATTTATTGAATGGTTCAATGAAGGAACCACTTGGTGCTCTAGCTGAACCTCCCTACCACCCGGCCTCTTTTGTCTGCGGACTCTTTGGAGGGTCAGCCCCATCCGTGGTCTCACAGAGGCCCACCAAGCCCTGGATCTGACTCTGAGGCCCCCTCTGGAAGGTGCTTGACCATCTCAGTGCATGGGCAGCTCATGGGCTCACTTCGATGTGTGCTCCCTCCCTCTCTCCCTGCCTGCTACAGACAAGGGAACCAGTAGGTCTCCCAGAGCAGAAACGCAAGCTCCTGCTGCTTTCCCCCATTGAAACAGGTGTAAATTAGGAGGAAATGGATCCCTCTAGGTTTTTGGTCCGACACAGATAAAGAGTTCATCCAACTGTTGTTTATGAGCCCCAAGCCGGGAGGAAGAGGCTGTGATTTCTAATTACTGAACAACCAGCCTTTGATCAGACTTACTGAAGAGTCATTTCCAAGTTATGCAGTTGGGCCCCTGAGGACTGGGAATCAGAAGGCTCGTTTGATATTTTTTTTATTGTGTTAAAGAGCAGCTGGATGGAGCTGCCGGCTAACAGATAATTCACAAGGAACAGACCCATTTACCCTGTGTGTAACAGAGATAACGTTCCAAGATGGGACAATGTGCTGTCACCCAGCTGTCGGCAGGGTAGGCAGGCCATGGCTTCTTGTCCTCCCTCCTCTTTCCTTTGGTTCACTTGTCCACCTCCATCATCCATCCCTATGGTGGAAGGTGACAGACTTGGGCTTTGTCCTTGACAAGCCAGGTGGCCTTGGGCAGGTCCCTTCCCCCCACTCAGGGTTCTCATCTATAAAATAAGGATGATAATGAGAGTAGCCACTTCTGGAGCCTGTTGTCATGGTGATATTAGGTAATCCACCCAAAAGGACTTATTTAGCCATACTGGGAATTTGATACTGATTGGCCAGAAGTGCTTCTCGAGCATCTCCTGTTTGTAGACTCAGCATGGGGGAAGTAGAGGCAGCACGGACCCAGTTCCAGTCCCCACTTTTAAGAGTGTTGCCTCAGGATTGGTGGAAAGAGGCAGCCTGGACTCCTGTGCATTTGCTTTGGGCCCCTGGGCAAGTCCTGTGTCCTCACCTGTCAGCTGTGTCTGGGAATCCCATTTGCAGGGTGACTGGGGACTCCATGTTCCTATCAAGCCCTCGGGGTTGCCCAGGCCATACTAGGTGCTGGTCAACGGCTGATGTGATTATCACCTGCCTAACTTTGGGCTCCTCAGAAGCACCCCTGGGTACAAGGAGGTGAGTACAAATAGTTTATTTGGAAGAAGAGCCCAGGAAGTTCCAGAGGAGGAGAGAAAATGGGATGGGTGGAAGAAAGCAGCTTTTAAAGGGTATATGATCAAACCAAAGGTGACTTCAGCTTAGTTCTGCTGGGGAAACTCTGGGAGCCAGCCCAGGTTGCTTCTCAGGGTGTACACCCAAGGGCCACGGGAGCTGGAATCTTTATAAACCATCTCCCACCACTCACTGGTTCGGGGGGAGGGCTTCTGGTGGACCTGAGTTCTCTGGTTCTCCTAGTCTTCTCAGAGAGGGCTCTAGCAGCAACAGAAAGCTCTCAGGCAAAGAAATACAAGTGCCAGCAAGCAGAAATCAGGTTGGTGAGCACGGCTGTGGGAAGATGGGTGGGGCTCTGACACAGCCTGCACATGGTCCCCCAATGGAGTAGGAGCTCACCAGCTCAAAATCCTGAATGTGCTAGAAAGAAAGAAAACTTGTTTGCCACAATGCCTGGGAAAGTTGTTCTCCTGTGTTCTCCCTTTTAAAGAAACTTAGGCTAGTTTGCAAGCACATCCCAAGGAGATAGCTCCAAGAAAAGACTCAGGGAAGCCGAGGCAAGTCCTTGATGAGTATGGGGCAATCATTTTGCTATGAGACAGGGCAAGAACACTTATTTGTAAAAGAACAAAACGTTTGTTATTCACAAAGCAAGGAAAGGTCGTTCTAACCCAGTGAGAATAAACACATTCATTTTGTAAGAGAATGTCATCATGTCTTGCTGGGCTAGGTCCAGGGCACCCACAGCTGGCCCATAACAGGTTCTAAAACCCTGAAGTCTGACTGTGGGCATTTGACGATCCTGGAGAGCTCAGACCTGTCGAGAAGGACTGCTGTTGGGACAAAACATTCGGCTATTAATGATCAGAAGTCTGAGCTGTCAAAGAACCATGGTGAGACCACAGTCTCATTGCACTATGGACCTCATCCTCCCGCCAAACTAAGATGCTGCCCTGGAGACCCTCCTCTTGATTGCAAGCTGTAGTTCCCCTCTCCTCTTCCCTGACTTCCCCACACCTCCCCCCCCCCCCACTTACAGCTACACAGAATTCCACGCTTGTGTATGTACAAGACAGCTTCCTCTTTCTTTTTTCTTTCTTTCTTTCTTTTTAAGATTTTCATTTATTTATTTGAGAGAGAGATTGAGGGGTGGAGAGGGGCAGAGGGAAAGAGAGAAAATGAGAGAGAGAGGCAGCCTCCCCATTGAGCAGCCGAGCAGGGGACCCGAGATGCGGGCCTCAATCCCAGGTCCCGGAGATCATGACCTGAGCCAAAGGCAGAAGCTTTAACCTACTGAGCCACCCAGGCGCCCCCAACTTCCTCTTTCTTATAGAAGCATAGGATTTCCTGGTGGGGAGATGCCACAATGTATCCAACCAATCCCTTACTGATGGGTTCTTCTGTTGTTTCCAATAATTTGTTTTTATAAAGAAGGAGTCCACCTCCTCATTTTAACCAAAGTCTGGCATTTGCACCCAAACCTTACATGTGCTTTCTGAGGCCTGACAAGAGGCAACCAGAAAAGCTTTAGCTGACAGGCCTCCTGGCGGAAGCCTGGCCTCCCCTCCCAGACCTGGGGAGCAGCCAGTGCCAGTTGCATCTGGAGAAGCTTCCAGCCCTTCCTGCTCTTTGCATATTTGCATATTTGCCTTCCTGGCCCAGGCATCTTCTGCCCTAAGTCTCTCCAGGTGAGGCCTTCAGCAGCGGTCTTCTTTAGGTGCCTCTGCTGAGGGTCCTTTCCAGGGAGAGAAGGGGGTCGCCTTGCACACACTCCTCCCCAACCATGACTCAGTACTCAGCACTTTCCCTCCCAGCCCATCCCCCCCCCACCCCACTCCCCATGGCCCTGGGTCCATAAAACTGCCAGAGGCTTTTGTCTGGGGCTTCCTCAACTGTGAGATGGTCCCCACGTCTACACGGATCCATCAGATCCACCAGCATGCCGTTTCAAAGGGGGAAGGGCAGAGGGGGCTCTCGGTCTACACTATAGGAGTGACTGAAGGCTCCCCGCTTGCTTTCGTTTTGGCTTGTTGTTGCTGTGATCAGCATCTCCGACACCTGGCAGCTCGGCTCCCTCTCCAGCTCGGCGGAGCTCTGGACAACACATAGTGCTAGTGGATAGCTTTATCCATACATCACTTTTAGTCCATCCCCGCATGTATATGTACAGGTACAGCTGGAAAATCAATACCCAGAAATGGAATGCAACAATTGAAGGAGACGCTTCCATCATTTAGCCCATGGGTATGTGCTCAGGGTCCCTCCTCTTACACTCTCCCTCCTTCCCCCGAGTTGGAGCCTGAGCACCCGTGGAATCAGGCAGTGGAGTGGAGGCTTCTGCAGTAAACAATTCAGCCCTGCTCGAAGAGCGGTCTGATCTCTGTCCTCAGCCCAAGAGCTAATCTCTAAGCCCTTGGGAAGTCTTGCCGGAGCGGAGTATCTTTGTCTTCCCCGGGGGCGTTGGACCAAGCCAGGGGAGCAGTGTGGTCTGTGGTGGGTGCTTTGGGTTACGTGGCATCAGCTGGATCCCTGAAGGGGTGGCAGAAGGCAGTCACCCATACAGGTGGTCAGTAGTGCCAACGGATGAAGCCCCGGTAAAGACTGGACACCAAGGCTTGTCCTGACAGGCAACACCCTGGGTACGTTGTTACACACTGATGCGGAGGGTAGGAGGGTGGGGGTTGGGAGTAAGCCGGTCCAAGTATCCACAAGGAGAAGGTAACTGAAGCTCTGTGTTTGGAACTTTCCTGGGCTCTGCCCTATGAACCTCTTCCCTTGGCTGACTTTAAATGGCATCATTTACCTTTAACAAACTGTCACCATGAGATGAATAGGTTTCTGTGCGTCCTAGGAGTCCTTTAGCGAGTTACAGAATGTATGGGGTGGTCTCCGGGACCTTCCAGCTTGCGGTGAGTGTCCGAAGGGAGGGTGATCTTATGGGCTGCACTACCTCTCACTTCTCAAGGGGTCTTCTGTTCTCTGGCTCCGTGGGCCACCAGCCACACTGCTGGCCTCAGACTCTGGATGTGTTCTGGGGACCAGAGGGCCCCCACTTCAGCTGCCAGCTGACTCATCTTCAGCTCTGCTCTTGTGGGCACTGCAAACCTCAGAATCCAATCTGGTCAGTGTAGGCAAGAAAGGGGTTTCAGCCCCCACTGCCTGGAAGACCATCACTGGTTGCAATGACTCTGACGTCTACGTCTTCAGTCCAGATCTATCCTGAGACTCTGACCTGTCCCCTAACTGCAGGCTGGACATACCCCTCAGGCTGACTGGGTTTGGGGGGTACACGGGGCCTGTGTGACAAAGGCATCTGTAAAGGCATCTTGAGGGCTTCCCTGGAGTCTATTGCAGACATCCCACAGCCCAGCACATGCCCCTGGGTCTGCTTCTGGCAGCCTGCCAGGCCACGCTGGTAGTAAAACACAGCAGAACAGATAACTGCTTTATGGGCCAAAAGAAACCGATTTCCCACCCGGGACCACTAAAGAATCCAGGGCTTACATCTCCACTTCCCTTAGGGTAGGCTTTCTTCCCGCCTTAAGTGATCTCCTGGGGCCCTTAGTGCAGAGCTATCAGCAAAAATCCCAGGGACAGGAAGGCTCTTTTTAAAAGGATGCTCTTGCTGGGGCGCCTGGATAGCTCAGTCAGTTAAGTGTCCGACTCTTAGTTTCGGCTCAGGTCATGATCTCAGGG